TTTGAGCTGCTCAGTTGCCAGCTCCTGGAAGGTAAGCTCACATGGTCGCGTCATGTCTGGAGCTGGCACAATCAGCTACGGCTCCATGGCGTGTACCGGGTATCGGCGCGTCTGCATCGCAGGGCAGTTTTTCCTGGTTCATCGGCTTGTTGCGGCTGCCTTTCTTGGACGGGCACCAAGCTTAGCGCATTGGATGGTGAATCATATCGACAACGATCGCTGCAACAACCATGTGAGCAACTTGTCGTATGTAACGCCCAGCGAGAACAGTCGGCATGCGTGGACCACCAATGGGTCGCAGCGACTTCCTAGACAGGGCCGATCTGCTCTGTGGCGTCCTTGTGGCCGTGAGTTCTGGTCTTCGGCTGCTTCGCAAGCAGAAGCTGGAAGAAAATTGGGCGTGTCACCTCAATGCGTGTCTCGTTGTTGCAGCGGCTTCTCTTCGAGCTGCAAAGCGACCGATGGTAGAAACTATGAGTTTCAGTTCAAGCCCGTGGAGAAGCACGAGTGGAATGAGGAGGGCGAGTTGTGGAAGCAGGCTGTGCACGCCGGTGATGGAAAAGTGGTTTCCGATCTCATGGTCAGCAATCGCGGCAGGGTGCTGCGAGCCACGGATTGGGGCAGAAAGATGCCCTGGCGTGGTTCGCAGATGACCGCCGGGTACTACACAGTACACAAAGGGGGCCGCGCATACAGGGTCCACCGGTTGGTTGCCGGTACCTTCTTGGGTCAGCCTGCATCGCAAGATTTGCAGGTGAACCACAAAGACTCGAATCGTTGGAACAACCACGTGGACAACTTGGAGTATGCCACGCAGTCTCAAAACATGCAGCATGCCTTGCGTCGAAATGTCGGGATCAAGCGAAATGGCCAGGGCAAGCCCGTGCAAGCGCGTGTCGCAGGTTCGAACAGCCCGTGGCAGCAGTTCTCTTCCATCAAGGCCGCTGCAGATCACACCGGTACGAACGAACGTGTCGTCTCCCGATTGTGTTCGGGGAGAGAAAATGTCAAGAATACCAGCGGTTGGGAATTCCGCTTCTTGCCGATGGAGCCTTTTGCAGGCGAAGAATGGCGACCGGTGGTTCTGGAGGGAGCACGAGTGCTTCGACACTACAGGTCGTGAGTTCGTCCGGCCAGTATGCAGGAAGCCGACTTGGTCGCTGCAACTGTCGTGCTTGCAATCCGAAAGCTACAATGACTCGAAAGTTTGGAGCCACACGGATGTCTACGCGTTGCTCATCATGGTTGCGGATCGCATCCTCCAAATTCTGAACCTTGCACTCGAGACTTAACTGCGACCCCAAAAGTATGCAGAATGATAATAGCTGATAGCTTTTTGCAGTTGTTGGGCCAATATTTTACCTACCTCTGCGGGTTCAGGCAACTACGACCAAGCATTTCCCACCGACCTTCGAGATTGCAATGATAGCTCAGCTCGGAGGAAGCGTCTAGAGAAAGTAGCAAATGGCATGTCTGGGATTCTGGAGCCCGGCGTTTGGCTTAAGCTACATACAAGGCCGTCGCTCAACCCCAACCCCACCATGCAACCTTCGCCAACGACTCCCAGTCGGCCTTATGCACGCTTAAGTCGGAAAGTCCAAAACTCTTGAAGCCTTCAAAAGTACACAACAAAGGCCAAACCCTAAACTGTTGAGCAGCACTGCAGCCCTAAACCACACCACTTTAGACCT